GAGGCGGAGCTCCGAGGGCCCAGAGGCGGAGCTCCGAGGGCCCAGAGGCGGAGCTCCGAGGGCCCAGAGGCGGAGGCTCTCTACCTGCACTGCTCCGCGGGGGGGCCCCCCTCGGCCGTGTCCTGCGGGAAGGTTTCTCCGGCGGGCGGAGGCCTCTCCAGGACGACGACGGCCAGAACGATGCCCAGGACCACCAGCAGGCCGAGCACCAGCGCTAAGGTCAGGCAGCCGGTGGACCTCTGCGGGAGCAGAGTCCAGCAGGGACACATGAGACAGGCCCACAGCCGGACAACACTTTAGCTCCATCTCTGAGGTCCTCTTACCCCTTTGCTGGAGAGGTAATCGTCATGAAGGCTCGAGTATGTGGAAGTCATCTTTCCCTTCAGCAAAGTTCCTTTGAAAAAACAAAACAAAAATAACTGGTCATGAGGTTAGTTTTGGCTCGTGTGGTCCCACAACAAAAGCTTCATAAATCTGAATCTACTCACAGACAGACGCAGCTTCTTCTCAAGGACGAAAAGTTGCTCCCTTCCCCTCCTGCTTTCACTCCGAAATGATACAGAGCATGTCTCTGGTGTTTGATTTAACTCAGCACAGTTCCTGTTTTTACTTTCATTTCAGCTTTCGGGCCTCAGCATTTGTTTGGGTTCTTTTTTTCAGTGAAAGCAACGTGTGATGTAAGGAAAATGAAAGAAAAACCACCAGCACAGAGTTTTGCTGATCACAATTTATTTGGAAAAAGAAAATTATCTGACAACACATATATCCCAACATAAATAACTCCCAACATATTACTACCAAATCATCAAATCATTGGGGGGAGGGGGGGGTACACAATCTGAATATCAAAAAAAGGAACACAAAGGTACAGATACAGAAGAATCAAACTTCAGCTTTAACTTGCTCTCTAACTGGTGGAATGAAACAAAAAGGAAAAAGGTCCGATGGACGAGTAGCAGCAATACTTTTGGAAAGAGACTAACATTCAGTTTATGCTCCAGTCTGTAAACAAACACTGTACTGGGCTGCAGGAATCCCGTTCCCACACAGCTACGTGGCACTTGGAGGTACGTTCCAGCTACAATCGGGTGTACAATCAGTATTAGGAAGAGAGAGAAAAAACAAAGGGAGGGGGGAAGGTTTTTCAGTTTGCAGCATGTCGGTTTTGAAGGGACAATCTACAACATTAGTGCAAAAGATTTAGAGGTAATATTTGAGATGTACAAGCATCTTTAACAACAATCACGATTTTTACAGTTTTACACAAATTTGTCAACATGAATGCTAGAAACAAAATAATCACATAACTTATTCTGGGCTTGTGAGTCAAAAAAATGTCTTATCATGGGGCTTACCATCAGCACGTGGATGGTTAGACTTCACAACAAACTATTAATGTCAGCTTTCGATCATTTTCTTTGGCAAACGTCTGGGCTGACTAAAAGGTCTCCACCTCCCAGTTGTTTCTGGCAGAAACACTCTTAAACGGGCAGGAACCAGCAGACATTGTTAGTGTGCTTTCCAGGTGCCTCAACTGGGGCTCAAGCTCCTCCTCCCATTCAGATCACACATTCCTGTGGGGGTGCCAACCCCTCCCTGGAGAAAACGGTGCCCGGCATCTCGCCCTGTTGCCTAGGAAACAACCCCATTGCTGTGTACCAACTCCGTCTGACACAAGCAGCCACTAGGTTTTGGCCCAAAGTCCGCTGTGTCTGTCACAAATCCCACTAATAAATAGATTTTTTTTTACCTTCCTTTAAACAACCAGGGAGAGTAAACGGATGAGGGAATGCAGGTTATGAGCGCTGCTCCGGACCGAAAAGCTTACATCAAAACATACGATTTGACACTAAACACAACATTTTCTAACACAAAATTTCCGAAGTATGTATAGATTTTCCCTGAGATGATTATGCTCAGGCTGTTTCTATGTCAACCACATAATTACAACAAGCTCTTAAAAAACAGCAATGTTGGTTTGCTAGAATGAGAACGATCTGTAACACAGCATCACACGCAGCCGATTGCAGCTCTGTAAGAGGGAAGTTTCAGAAATGTCATGGTGCTCCCTCACCTACTTTCCCCCCAATCACCGAGCGCCGTAGTGCAGGTTGGACTGTGTGCCACCTCTGGGTGGGTTAACAATGCCGTAGTGTGTGTGTGTGTGTGTGTGTGTGTGTGTGTGTGTGTGTGTGTGTCGAAGCTCACTGAAACTAGTTTCACTTCCCCTCATTCTGGTTTCACTTGCACACACATTTGTGACACCTGGGTTTGTGGCAGAGGTTCAGCCCTGGTGTTTATCAGACTAAATAACCCTGTCTGAGATCTTCTGGTGTCACAGCCGCGCGCCTCACGCTCTCACTGGGCCTCGGCCCGCCCCCCCGCTTGGACATCGAATGGATGGTCCTCCAGTCTCGGGATGAAGAAGATCTGGAGGACCGGACTCCAGAGGAGGAAGAGGAGGCGGAGGCCTTGGTGCTCTCTGGTGTGTCGGTGGGCTCCATGACTGTGTTTATGACTGAAAAAAACAAAAACAGACAAAAACCCAGTCAGCTGAGGTCTTTACTCCTCACTTGGATGAAACAGAAATGAATCCATTTGTTCCCAGTCCTCACCCTCGAGTCGTCTCTGAACGCTCCGAAGTTCTTTCAAGATAGTCAAAATTTCCTGAAACGCACAAATCCGACAAAGCTTACACATGCAACACAACAGCAACACAACAAAAAGAGTTTAAACACGGATGATCACTCACCTTGTTGGAGGAGCTTTCCACAGAATTATCCCCAGCTGCATTAATGTTGGCCTCGATTTCCTCCCAGACGTCCATCCTGTCCTGAAACAGCACCCTGCGGGCAGAGAGCAGCCGTCTAAACACACCGGTCCTCACAAACTTTGTCCTCACAATGTTTTCCAAGAAGAGCCCTGAAATTTGGCCAACGTTGGCTGAGGCCTCTTCAAAAATAAAGAAAAAAAAATCCTTCCAAGCTGGTCTTTATTAAAAAAAAACACAAAAAAACCCCCTCAAATAATACGGTGGCTAAATCCCTAATGAAACTTTCCATCTGCTTCTAATCTACTCATCAAATCTCTCTGTCAGATTGTCTGTGAGCTGACTAGGTTACTTTAATCAGGATTAAATACTCAGTTTAATCAGCTTGTCTGATAGGATCAATACATTTTGCATCAAAGTTGTGTCTGCGTTTCTTCTTACTTAATTTTGTCTGCGAGTTGCTCTGTGTTTTCTCTGATGGCCAATATGACCTGATACAGAGGGTTCAGCATCAAACAGTCCATGACGACATCCTGTGGAAACATACACATAGTTAATGGAGATCATCCACCTCTGAGTGAATTAAAAACAGTGAGCGAGGCGGCTCAGGCTGTCTGACCTTGTCTCCGCTCTCAGCCTGATGTTTGGAGCTCTGCTCATGGTCACCGCAGCTCTGCTCCGCCTCCCTTTTTGGTTCACAGCTCGTTTGGATCCTGTGGTTTGATCCAGCCTCTGAAATAGGCTGCATAAAAAAAAAACACTGCAATAGTCAGTCTTAAGAGAAACAAATATTTCGTCAAATTAGGAGACAGATGGGGGGTGAGCTGACATTCCATAATTGTAGTCCTGTACATGCCAAACTAAACGGTGAACCAGGAGATAGCTGAATCCAGTTTGGAGTAAAAGCAGTGCAGATAATGATAATGATACAACAGCTAGGTGAGATAAGCCTCCATGAGCATGTTGGGTGTACCTGTTGGCGAGTGGAAACCGCCGTATCGAGCTCAGCTCCAGGCGTCTGCGGCTCCCCGTCACCGGCTACATCATGGATCTCTCTGGCTAGGATAGCCAAGTCTTTGGCAAGGTCTTGACTTAACCTAGAGGAAGGAACATAAAAAGAAAACAGAGAAATGATGTCCGGATGTTTAAGGTGTCAAAAGGCAGAGATGCAGAGTCAGCAGAGGGTCGAGCCGACCTGCTGCACAGATTAGATATGCCAGTGTGAGATCAGGTGAGTTATCAGCAACAGCTGCCTAAAGAGAGACCCTGAAAACGGGCAACAAGCGTGCAGGCCGTCTGTGCTTGCAAATTAAAGAGGTGAGAGGGTTTCAGATTTGGATTTACACATCACCATGTTTCTGCATTTCTCAGGCGCTTATGTCCACTGACTTCCAACGCAGACACAACGTTACAGTTCTTTACATCGAAAGCCATTTTGGGAAAATACTGACAAAACAGAAAATTAAATGAAATCTTATCTTCAAACTGAGTCTTTGTCAAACTTCAGAACGAACTGACTGAAATAATGTGGCATGACCACACAAAGCCAACACGAGCCAATATACCGAATGTCAAGATGTACCGAACTCATCAGATTTCCGATGTACCTTCTGACGAACCTAAAAATGATATGAAATCCTATCTGTCTGAACCTGTGTGTGTACAGTTAGCTTTAGAGTGAAAGAAAACACAGATTTAGGCTTAAGTCAGCCCAGTTTGGCCCTCTCTTACCGTGCTATCTCGACGCTGTGGGAGGACCATTGGTGGAAGGCCCCTCCCTCGTTGTTGTCCTCTTCAGAATCTCTGCTGTGGGACTTTGGATGTCGAGCAACTATCGGCTGGGGTCGAGTCTGACTGCGAGGGCTGTGAGAGGCTGAGGAAGGTTGGGAGCGTTTGTGTTTGAGATTGCTCCGGTTTGAGTCATACTCCTCGTCTGAGGTCGAAGTATAGTCAGAGCCTTTTTGTCGCCTTCTCGAGTCTTGGTGTTGTGAGTTGGTTTGAATGATGAAAAGACCAAAGAGAGGTTGGAAAAACAAGAGAGAAAAAAGAGGGTGCCATGAAAGGATAAGTCCAGGAAAAACACCACCAAGTTTTCCAGATGGGAGTCACCAAAGACCGTTCTCAGTGTAAGTACAAAAAGATTCTTTGGATGCCCTCATCTTTACAAAGACCTGAGCACTCAACCTCCAAAGTATTAGATCAGAAACATTTAGTGGCCTGACATCTCCCAGAAACAAAGCCAAGTATAGGTCCAAAGAACAACATCCCTCATCGTGGCCATATTTAACTTCATAATTATCATTTTAGTACACGATGCAGATCAGTTATTAGAACACTTAAGGTTTGGTTACTGCTGTTAGTCAGGTCCCAGAGCCAGGTCCCACCTCACACGCCGCCTCTTGCTGAACCGAGGGGTCGCTTCCTTAAACCGTGACCTATGAATGTTTCAAACCAACTCACCGCTGTGACAAGCTTCCAATTCAGACATAAAAAGCCTCCTCTGCGCTGCAGGCTGAACTTAAATGGTCTGGATCCCACTCGGGGAAGCGGGTGGGAGGTAAAACGGTGCGGTCCACTCACTTGCTGTGCTGCTGGCGTATTTGGCGCTGCTGGAGCGTCCTCGGGTGAGTGGCGCCCGGCCCAGGGCCGCCTTCTGGGGCCTCTCGGCTGGCTTGGCCCCTGGAGTGGAGGCCCTCTGGATGGAGCTGCCGCTGGACTCGGTGCTGCGGTTGGAGAACCCGGCGCTCCTGCCCGTCCACTGCGGGGGGGCAGCAGCCTCGGTGTCGCTGGGCGTGGTGAATGAGCCTGACCGCTTGCGTGGCATGGCCAGCATGTCCAGTCTGGACAGTTTCTTTGCCTCTTGGGGCGGCTTGACGTGCGTGTTGACCGTCTCCTGGGACGGCCTTTCTGTCTCTGTGCCCTCGTTGTCCGAGGACTCGGCCAGGCGCGCCCGGCGGAGCATGGAGGCCCTGGTGGGTCTGGGGGCCGACAAACTGTTGGCGCGACTCAAAACCTGAGAGACTCTGGAGGTTTTGCCGTCCTCCTTACGAAGCGGCGTGTGGTATTTTCTGCGTGTTTGGGCGTTGCTCGACTCCTGATCGGAGTAGGGCAGACTCTGAGGGTCATCGCTGAGATCTGTGGAGCCACGCTTCCCAGCACTACGCCTCAATGCCACCGGCCTCCTGACAGGATCTGCTTTAGTGGTGGCGTTTGATCCATAAGGCCGGTGCTTCTCAGACGAGGACTGGTGATTTGAATCCTGAGCTATGCTGGCGGAGGACCTCTCCCTATGGAGGCCACCTGAAGATGTTTTTTTCACTAGTACATTTGGTTTGGTCCTGTTGCTGTGATGGCTGACTGTGCTGGAGGTATCCACGTCAGAGTCTCCAGAGAGCGAGTCATTAACAGGAGACGGAGTGGTCCCTGACTGCCCTGCGTAGAGTTTGGCCTCTAGAACAGCCAGAACATCCTCTGTTTGTTTGAGGTATGAGTGAGTGTCCTGGCTGTTGGTCCCCTGGAGCAATCCAGAGACTGAGTCTCTTTGAATATTCATGCTTGAGATGTCGGGCAGTCTGGCATTGCTCGGCTTCTCCTTCGTAAAGCTCTCCTGTCTGATTAATGGGAACGATGTGGATTCTTTACCCTCCGGGCCCTGTGTGTCTTGGTTCAGTCTGGGCGCTGATGCAGAGGGTTTGACTTTTCCCGGCTCCTGACTGCGTTTTTGTTTAGTAAGAGTGGCTGTAGAGAACGTTCTGGTCATATGTTTTCTCTCAGCTTTGGGGGTGCTGGGTTTTAGGCCTCCGCGTTGTGGTCTGGACTCTTCCTCGGACCCGATGTAGAAAGATGTTGATTTGTCAGGGAGTCTGGGCTTGTCTTTATTTTGCTTCTCTTCTGTATCTGACAGCTGTCTAGCGCTCTGCTCTACGATGGAGCCTTCGTCTGACCTGCTGGCATCGCTCAGGCTGTCGGGCTCCACGTCGTCCTGCACCGTCAGCCTGTGAATGGCGTCCTGACTCCTGGGGGCCACGGAGCTAATGTCTTCGACATTGAATGTGGAGTTGGGGTTATAATGAACGTGAATAATGGGAGTTGGAACGTCGCTCCTGTCCTCCTGTGGTAGGATGTGACGAGTCTTTGAGCCCTCGACTGAGCTGCTGTGTCGATTCGGTGTGGCCTGATGGGTGACGGCCCCTTGTGCTGAAGGGAAACAGTTTTAATGCATATTAAGCACACACACTGAAACCGAATTTCATTCATATTCATCAGGGCGTCTCATTATCATTTCAAATAGGCCGATGTTTCTTTAGGTGGCTTACCCCTTGGTGACAGTTCCATCTGGGGAGGGATGTCAATGGCTCTAGACGAATAGCCAGATTCTGCGTAACTGTCTGCCAAGCTGGCCCAGCGAGACATCCACTTAGGAGCTCCCTGTAACACTGCACCTGCCGGCTCAGCCTGTTAGGGAAAACACACGACTTATTCACAGTCTTTCAAAAGCATTTTGAAAACAGCACAGTTGTAAAATAGTTGTGATAAACAATAGAATATTCATCTGATGAGTCTGCTCAGAAAATGGAGATTTTGTTCTCATAATTTAGTCAGACAGGAAGACCCAAACAACCCAAAAAAACCCAGAACCTGTGAGGAAAGAAAATAGAAAATCAAGGGATTAAAAGAGAGATAAGGAGAGAAAACACCAAGATGCCAAATCAGGACTGCAGTGCACGCCGATTTATGCAATCAGACATCATTGGCTTATTGATCTGAAACAATAATTAACTGCCCATAGAACCAGTGTTAATATGATCCTTCCAATCATCAGTCCCACCCTGAGAAGGAGGGGTACTGGTTTCACCTCTGCACTGCTACTCTGCCTATGCTCCTCACTGCCCTGACCAATAACAGGCCTAAATGCTGATGAGGTTTGAGCGTCACTCTGGTTCACTGGCTCTGTGCTCTCAACAACGCCAAACACCTGTCAGGAACAAAACATTATGAGTGTATAAGCGCAGAATTTGGAGAGTGGAAATACTGACATCCATGGCATTTTGGCCAGGACTTACAGAAAAGGCAGCTGAACCCCACAACAGGATTGATCATTTTAAAGTTACAAGCAGTGATTTTTAGCCATAAACAAAAGATGGAGCATCTTGCCTTATCAATCTTGCTGCGTGCCTCTTCCAGATCTTTATCTGGAATGTCTGCTTCAATGGTGTAGGTTCCCGCGTCACTCAGACTGTCTTCTTCTTCATTTCTGAGGCTCTTAGCTTCCACATTCTGAGGTGCGGGGGGCATGGTGGGGGCTTTGAAAGGAACGGGTTGGTCGATAGGAGAGGAAGTCTGAGGCTGGACCGCAGATGGAGGAGGGCTTGTGATTCTCTGATCGACTCCTGACCCTCTCTGTATGGCTTTTGGAGAACCAGGAGGATTTCTCTCACAGCTGGAGGCAGAGTTTTGCTTCTGTTTGAGCATCTCAGCCGTAAAGTCCTGCGCGAGTCTGGACCTCCGGCCTACACTGCTATAAGGTCTTGCAGACACAGAGGATGAAGAGCGAGAGGAAAAGCTGGTGCTCATCCGCTCTTCTGTCTTTTCCTTTCTGAGAGAACCGGCTCGTTGAAACCCCGAGGGAGCAGGCCCCTTCAGTGGGATGGTGTACCGCTGTGTTGGGGGCGTGGAAGAGGATGTGGGTGGGACGCGTCCTTCCCCAGTAGGGCTTGAGCTCTTCCTTGCTTTATCCTGAAGGAGCTGGGGGCTTGAGGGCTCAGGTGGAGCAGCGCTACTGGTGAAGGACTGCGAGCGCTTTTTTCTTTGGTTTTCCTCAAAGAATTCAATAACAAAGGCTTGGTGAGGCTCAGCCTTGCTTTGACTGGAAAGCGACTGGGACTCTGGTGGAGAGTGGGACAAACGTTCTTTGGAATCTGGGGAGACATAGCGTTGTGGTGGGGAAGCTCTCAAATTTTGTGGAGAACCATGGGACCCAATCTGAGGCTCTGATTGAGGGAAATCTTGTCCGTTGAGTGTAGGATGCCCTGATTCACTGCGAGAACCATCCTCACTGTGGTTTGCTGATAATGGAGACCAAAAACACAAAAAAGTTAACTTAGCACATTGCTGTAAGAAAAGCGAGTGAAAACATCAACAGACCCGATCTGAGCAGCCCACCTTTGGCGTTCCTCGGTAGCGATGGGTCGCTGTCTGCGGTGTACGTGTCTTCACACTGTGACTTCCTCCTCATCATGCTAGCATTGCTCTGGACTAGCCAATCAGCAACTTTGCTTTCTGCTGACATCACCTCTGTGGGTGTGGTAGCAACCTCTGTGGACGGTTGCTTTCGCTGCTGGCGGAAAGCAAACTTAGTCACATGGTCTTTGATCTTCAGTTTGCCTGGCGTGCATTCATCAAATTCAATAGTGAAGGAGGCGTGGCTTTGGACTACGGGGGGAGTCGGGGTGGAAGGGACACATGGAGAGGGATCTGAGGTGTCTTTTGTGGGAACCTCATGAATCTGGGACTCCTGCTTTTTGGCAGTTTGCTGCTGGAACTCCTTAGTTGGGATCTCAAAGTAGCTGGGCTCCCGGCGGTAGGAAAACATGGCCTTGGTCTGACTATCTGACAGAGATCCATTGACCTCATATCTGGACCCATCTTTAGCAGGTTCTGTGGCACACAAAACGACAACGGTAAACAAAAAGCTTTAGCAATGGTTCTGCTAAAGATATCCACCAGTAATACGATAGAAAACAGCACAATTAGTCACTCCAAAGTGTTAAAAAATAAGTCACTATGCACTAATAATATAGCTGTAATAAATAATTATCCAGTTGGTTTCTATATGTGTCGCTTAGGAGTTCAGAGTCCAGTGGGGGGGGCTGAGCGATAATCTGTTTCAGATCGGGCAATATGAGGAGAACAATCAGCCTTTCCACCCCCTCTGGCTGCTTATGGGGTTATAATCCATCACGAGGCAGACAGGCTCTGCCCACTGGCCAGGCAGCCACTCCACAACTGGCAGCCAGAGACCTGCCTTGGGCTTAACGCCATCAACCGCCACCAGCAGAGCACATCGAACAGCAGCGCCGCAAATGCTCAACATTAAAATCAATTCACTCTGCAACAAACTGTTCTGCTTTACAGATGTATAAATAAAAAAAACAACAACATTTGTATAAATATGGAATGTTTTAGCTGACCTGGAGACTCACGTCCTGGCATTTTCCCCCCTCTGTTATGCTTTTTGTTGGCTGCATCCTCATCCTCACCCCACCAGGACGGTTGGCCGTACAAAGGAGTCGGCTTGGATATGGGAGAATCTGTGGACGCTAGCAGACGATACAAAAACACAGATATTGAAAAACACCATCGGCCACACCGAGCAAAGGCACAGCAAAGTGAACCACCAGTTGTGTTTTATTGGCCAATATGTTTTTATATCGGTGAGATAAACACAATATAAGCTGTTGTTTGAGGAACCAAAAAATAAACTGCAAACCGTAGCTCATAGCACCATAGTGCCACACATCTCCACTTAATTGGTATTTTTGGCTACTCTTTCCCAGTGCCCGAAGAGGAGCACAGGTCAACCTGTGATACCGACAGCATTACGCAAATCACCAAACATAATCCTCCTCATGTGGTGATGACGCAGTTAATCCTAATCTTCAAAGAAAGAAAACAATAGAATTCAGGATAAAGCACCAACAAAGCACCATTTCTATCCTGAAGCTTCTGTCAGAGACACTCTTTGCTGACTTTGGGAAGTGGATATTTATCTATTTATTGTTAAGTCAAAAGTATCCCATCCTGGCAGACTAATACACACATGTCAACAAGAGCAAGCCGATAATGGACTTAATCAGATAAACTAGAGGCTCTTTTTTTGGGCCTGATTGTTGGAGCAAACAGGCTCACTGCAGATTTATGTGGACTCTCAAAGCCAATCATCAGCAGCACTTGGCCACCGTTGCCTTGGACACACAATAAGACATCAACAAAGTGAGGGGAGAAGCACAGAGGCATGCTACCAATTGCTCCCTAGTGAGTCAATCCACTTTATTAAGCCAAAAAAAATGGGTGAGCACAAAGCAAGGGCCCTGCACACTTTGCTGAGACATGTTCTATTCATTACTTGATTATTAAAAGAAAAGGAGACAAGTCAAAATGGGATAAAATTCATTTCTGCAGCTCTTAACTGAAGGATTCTGCATTTAAGAGGCAGCTTTAAACAGTTTGTGATACGACTATATAACAAACCAGCTTTCAGTGTTTTGTTAGGCACGTTTCTGGCTTAATAAACAAATCCTAAAATTATTTGGATGATTTCTAATTCTTTAGTTATTTCTTTTGTGGCGTACTGCCTCAAAGACCTCCACAGAGCTAATTCCACACCCCTGTTCCAAATACTAAAACTGCCCCAGGCCCTGGCAGCATACAGCAGCCTGATTGAGTCACACACACTGTACAGTAGCAGTGTCCTGCCCTACAGACAACTGGGCGGGTGGATTCACTCCACATCCGGTACAGCTGCATGGGAAAAAGAGAGCACACAACAAATGATACATACTGACATATATTCTCAGAATTGCATAAAGTTTAAGAAAACTAACTCTCGGAAAGAAAAAGAGACAGACAGAGAAATGCAGTGGGGTCTCACCGTAAAGATACTTTAAATACCTCTCAAACAAATAGTCTGAAAACATATCAGCGAAACAGCCAGTCGTTGGAAGTAGCTATTGAAACTTTTGCTCTTTTTTATCTGACAAACTTTGAAAAACCATCCTTATCATGTTGTGGCTCTACATATCTGTACATATCTCACTGGTGAGCTGACTCACAGCAGCTTTGAGGGCAGACAGTAAGGAGACAGCCATAAGTAAACAGGGCTTCACTGAGTTTGAAATGACAGCTTTGTACATACCATGTTAAAAATCGTCTTATTAAAAAAAAAAAACCAAAAAAATGAGTTCACAAAATGCTGCCCTTCAATAAGGGCAGTGTGAGGCTGCAGATGGAAGAGTCTATTCTAAGCTCTGGTTGTAGTTTTCCCACAAGACCAATTTTGTAGCAAAAAGCTCCAGGGCTGCTCAGTCAACAACAGCTGGAATAGTTTTGTCGCTGTGAATGATTTTCATTCACACTGGTGATCCCATTGAGTCAACAGTTTGCCGACTGTTATCGGCACTGCCAAACGTGACTTATTTAGTACACCTCGGAGCTGGGAGCATGTGACAGAGACTGTAAATACAGACTGGCAAATCCACCATTGGGGTCATGGACAGTGGAGCCGAGTTGGAGCCGAGATCTGCAGCTCTTCTACAGCACGTGCTGAACCATCACCGTGCTTAGCAGCACCCCACCTCATCAGCCAGGCATGGCCGACATAGATAAGACCCCTTGTCCTTAACTCCTCAGCACCTACTCTTGTTTACTGCAAACCGTGGGATGTCAAGATCGATTTCATTACAGACGGCACAGGATTGTAGCTGCAGCCTCTCATCTCACATGGCATCCTAATCTCACACCAGGGAGGCTCCTAATAAAAGAATCCACAGTTGCTTTATCGGGGGATCTATGGTCTAAGTCATGCTGCACATGCAGACTCACAGGCTTCCGCTTCCTTATATGTGAACAGCATATTCAAATTCCTTTAAATGACCCTATCCTATCGGACAAATAGGACTATCACGCCTTCTTCTGCCTTACTGCTAATGTGCGTCTGCCGTGTTGGCAGAGTTGTTTACCTGTGAGAGACTGGGCCCTTCGCTCAGACTTGTCCTGCAGCTTGATACTGGAAACACAGTCACTGCTCTTCTCTGAGTTCTGAAGCTGCTGCTTTTCCTTCGCCTTGGCTTCCAGGGATTTTATACTGAGCTGCAACTGGCTGGTGTACTTCTCATGCTGTGCAGACAGACAGAGGGGAAAACAGGATGTGAAAAAATCTCCCGCCAGCAATCAGAACAGATGGAACTGTTGTCAGACATGTAAGGAAGGATATCCACCAAGGACTTCTGGAGTTTAAACTTCTAAACGTCATTGTCCGTTTTTTTCTTTGTGGCACTTGACGTGTTATACAGATGACAGTCCACAAAGAGCAAAAATAAAGTAATACTGAAAGGTTTAAGTTGTGCAAAGACTGATGTTTGTTTATTTCCTTGTAGTATAAATCAGATGGTTTATAGATTCATTATATAAAGATCATATTACATTGTTTCATTTGTTTACTTGTCGTATGCAAAATTACAAACAGACACTCGGGGAGCTTTCAAAAGCAGACTGTAATTGTTGAGTTTTATCATTACAAACAGGGATACACACAGAGCATTTCTGCAAAGGGGCCATTTTACTTACTTTCAGCGCTTCCTCTGGGACCTTGTGTTGACTCCTCTCCAGGATATAAACATGAGCATGTACAGAGGTTGTTAAAGTGTTCAAATCCAAATTTCAGCAAATCTAGGTACATTCCCTTTCACACCACAAACCTGCTGCCTTCAGAACATAAATACTCTTTATTCAGAGAGAGTTAGGTGTTCATCTGACTTATTCTCCACCTGGGGAGATCAAAATCTCCTCTTCTATTGCTGATGTCCAAAGAACCTCATTTTTAATACCATCCTCTAACTTACACTTGGCATAGTAGGTAAAGTGGACAAAAGAAGAAAAGACTGTTATCTAAACTAAATTCAACAATTAATCATTTTTGTTCTTTGAGGGGTCAAAGGGCTCTGGACTTTCCTGTCCACAGCTGACCACAACCTAAAGCCCCTGACAAGACAACTGTGTGGAATTAACATAGAGGCCCACCAAGGAGAAAGAAAATGCAATAAATGTGAGAGTGAAACAGCTGCCGACCACTGGCTGATTTCACTGTGGGCGGCTAATAATTAACTGAGCAACAGGAAGTCTGTCCAACAGTAACAGGCATGGTTATGGACAGCACAGTTTGGAGAAACTTTAAATGAGAATAATAATAAAAAAACATTAAAAAAGGATATCATAACCAAAACGTATGACGTCCGACAGCTTGAGGGTGATGTATGTCTGTTCCGGGATCCTGAGGTCATTCACAAATGTCTGCAAAACACAATCAAGATCACAACTTTTCTAAGTTATTAAACTTAATTTGCTCCCTCACAGTTGAACTAATTCCTTGTGGCATGCACCCTGATACTGTAAGGTGCTTTGCAACTGGCCCCATTTCCACTACCGGGACACTAAAACTTTGATGGGATTACAGTATTATGTAATGGCTGAAACAAAAACACTGCACTTTGGTGGTTCCTTCAGCCTTAACAGTAAATGTTCTGACTCTTAGCTGCGCAGCACACCACTGTGCACAAAGCAGGCTCTACACAGACTACATGAGGGGAACTGGGGAAGGGGATTTCAGTTACAGGTCCTCACTGTTCTGCTCTGATTAGTGTGAGTATGGTTACTAGAGCCAACAGAAACACGCTGCCAGAACAATGACGGGTTTCTCTCGCTGCCCAAATATGGGTTTTGTTGGGTTAAGGAATTGGCATCAGAGAGGTAAGAGGAGAGGAATGGGAATACAAAAAAGCCACCAGGAAAACCCGGCACCCCAGCTTCACTTACAGTGTCAGGAAGACAGAGACATATTTTGTTCCCCTGGAATTATTGAGGACAAAAGGCCCTCTGGGAGCCCTGAAGCCGTGCTCTGGCTGTTGCAGGCCTTCCGATACGGAGGAAGGACCGACTCACCCCGTTCAAGCTGCCCAGGTCCTTCACCATGTGCTCGTCTTTCTTTTGGTCATAGTTGATAACAGCGTGCTGTTTGTCCACACTGCGAGACTGCAGGCAAAAGAAAAGCAAAAACATGACAGATTATGTGATAAAACACTTATGAAAAGGCCTCAGCCCTGATAGTAATCTGCACATAACTTTATTAGGCAGCCATGCTTCAAAGATAACTTTGACTGAAAAGAAAGCAGACCGCAGACGCTTGAAACAGTCCAAACCCTACATTAAAACTGAAAACACCGGATGCCTTCACAGGGAAGGCCTTGTTCATTTTGGCCAGATAACACCGAGCCAGGTTGTGTATATACACCAACGGCAAAGCTGGAGGGACCGAACTGACCTGCGTGCAGTTCAACGAACTATTTAGCACACAGTCAAAGCGTGCAAAGTTTCACAAAGGAGGCACCCAACCAACGGCCATCTGAAAACTTTTAATCTGGCTCAAATGGAGGGCAGCAGGCGTCATCGGGTCTGAAGAAGAGACAACGTAACCCAGAGCTAAACACATCCCTGTCTAGACTTTTTTTACAAAAAATATTTCTCTGAAATCACATTCTCAGCATCCATCATTTTCCTTGATTTAAACAGTGACTTTGACTTATTGTCCAATAATTGCACATGTTTTACACTTCAAAGAAATCACTGTTAGGTGGAGCCCTAAACATCCTGAGCATTCAGAATTAGGAAACCAAACCAAAACAAAGAGAAAGCATACAGGCTAGCGCCTGGATAAAAGCTTTAAATTGTGCTTTCCTCTGCCATGTTGAAACGATCTGCCTTTCACACAGAAAATCACGCACTCTGCAGAATGCCTTTTTAATTACACACAGGCTGAGCGGCTGATTAAGGCTGACATGCAAAATCCTTTCTGCTCATTAGCACTTTGGGCCTCTGTCACAGAATCCCAAAGAATGACTGCAAAACTCATTTGTTAAATGGACACAGTCACCAGTGGGCCGTTTGTGGGGACGCCACAAAGCCTTCCACAACAACTGTGAGGGGAAAAAAACTGCAATCCACAACAACTGTGAGGGGAAAAAAACTGCAATTGTCGCGTTGCTAGCCCTGCTGACTGATCCACTTTCAGCTAACTTACTCTAAATACTTTACCTCCCGCTGAGATGGGTTTATCAGCTACCTTGATTGGTTTAACTGTGCCGCCTATAGCACAGGGATGCAGCTCTCTTAACTCCGTTTCTTCCTTTTGTCTGTCTTTTTGGTACTGAGGAATTAAATGATCCACATAGCTGTGTCGGCCAGCCCCAATATGCAAACGCAGCTATGCAGCTGAGATGACCTCACTTCAACTGAACCTCTGCCTTTCATGCTAAACAGGATTCTCGTGTTTCAGACTTTAACCTTTCTTTTGAATGCATGTTTTATGTTACCCTCCTGAAAAAAGGGGTAAAGAAGAAAAAACAAAGATTTTGAACTGTCATTTTGCTCACTTTAGCAGAGAAAGTGAATTTCTGCATCGTCCCAGAGAGGGAGAAGCTGAGCCGTTTCTAACCAGCCTCTGTGGTTGGCTGGGCATTTCTGGGCTTAACACACAAAATAACAGCATAAACAACAGCCTCTGAGGCAGCATTCCTCTCTTGCTGGTCTAAATACAGAGTGAGATGGAAAAACAGAGGGAGGGATATTACAGAGAGACCGCAAAGAAATTGTAATTATAACAGACAGCCCATGGAAAAACTAAACTGTGGAATGCTTAAGCAGCGACTTCAGTCACTGTTTGAAAAATCCCTTTAGGGGAGAGACCGTCACCAGGTTACACAGTCAGAGAGCACAAAAGGAGCCTCCCGCTCCTTTTTCACATATTTACGGGACTGGATTCCCTGTCACACAGAGGAGCGGCCACCTTTCAGAGAGGACCTGTTTGCTGAGTAAAAGCCCAAACTCCATGAGAGCAGCTCACCTGCAGCATCAGCTCACAGTCATCCCGGCCCACGAAGATCATCTCCCGGGGCAGCCGGTGGCGCGTACCCGAGCTGCTGACCAGAAACCAGGCGGTCACGCTCATGTTGGGGCCACGTGTCAGGATCTTCTTAGCATCCTGGAGGAAAGAAACAATCAGAACACTTCAGAGTTCGCATGGATGGATTGATTAAATTTCAATGCCTTTGTCTCCGAAACAATGACTGATGTCGTGAAGAGGCTGTCCTGTGACAGCCTGTCTGAATAAAAGGATTAGTGAGAGGAAGTCACCACCTCGCCCAAAGTTTGACTTGTTTACCTAGCATCTGAAGTCTTTCTGTGTCATGACAAAAGGAAAGACAATTAAATAACCTCCAACATACTATATGTGCAGATTTATTAGTGTCATTTACAAAAGGTTAAAAAAATGCAAGTGATAACTGGAAAAGATTAAGAAAAGCACAATATGTAATGTTTCTGGCAAATAGTTATGTCTTCATTTCTGTTTTTATTCACTTACCTGTGCAACTTATTAGATTTTTGCACTACATTTTTGTTCTGTCTCTTTTGAAATCATCACGTCACGGATTTTTCTCGTGTAAAATGTTGTTTCATACTCCTGACAGGCACCGTGACAGAGTGGACTACGTTCCGGGTCGGATTTGTTAGTAATCTGTAATTATTCAGTCGATCACATGGTTATTTGTAATCCAGCGAATGACATTAACTCACTTTCGTTGGCTGTGAATTCCATAAACATTTAGACTTAGTCCTTTTTACACATCAACACATATCAGTCTTATTTCAACAACTAAAAAAGGGGGATTCAACCAACAAAGTCGCAGTACAAATGATTTGTTTTTATCTGGGGGGGACCTGTTGCAAAGCAGCGCCAAAGACAAACTTAAAGTTTTCGAAAAGCCTCTATTTCCAGACCAGTTTAGCCTCCGGTTACTTTTACAAAAACAACACACCGTTACGAACACACAGAGCAGCGTCCATACATTCAGCCAGAGCTCGTTTACGGCTCCGTGAACGCAGCAAAACGTTGCCTTTAATGTCACCGGGACGGTTGGTGAGCCGTTGACAGCGAGCCCGTTTGGCTAACGCCGAACAGGCTTTTTCCCAGTGGGACCTGCTCACCTTTAACGCCTTCTCCGTCTTTCGCCTGATGGAAGCCAGTGTTTTTAACGCCCTACCGTTGGTTCAGTTCGACGCCCGACATGTATTTACGACCAGGTGACACGGCACAGGTACATTTCCTACACACCCTCTTCCTCCTTCGGGAATGACAGTCGGGCGAAACTGGCTCCCTACGCCTTTTTCTGTCCGTCCCGGCTCGGTGACGTAGCTCGACGAGTCCCATCAAACGGGTTTAATCTGAGAGCAGGACGAGGGAAGAGGTCTCACTCCGACAGGTTTCCGGGCGCTGCAAAAGGGCTTTGTGGTGAAAGAGATGGCACACGCCTTCAGGTATCAATGAAGAATACATTAGATGAAAATAAATAGGAAAACAAATACATCTCTCTCTCAAACCAATGTACTATCGTCAGCTATATGTCCTTTATTGCTAACTTGGTCGCTAAACTATAGAAGTGAAACGGATTTATGACACAACACTTTAATAATTCAGCACTGGAAAGCCTTTAATGGCGAGATACGAGATATTGACTGCTCATATGCAAAGAAGAAAATGGTTGAAAACGTGTTTTCTGTAAATATGCTTAAAAACTGTGTATACATGCGGGTTTCAAAGGACTACACACAACATATCTTACTTTGGTCGTGTAAAATTGAACGCTAGTAAACCGCATCTAAGGACAATTACGCCGTCATCCATCATCTGTGGAGACAACGTTGACGATCTATGTCTGCATTCACAGCAAGCACCGTGGACTTTGTTTATCCAACGTTTTACATATTAAAACCACTCCAAAAACTAATAGATTAAAAAAATATTATGAAATGCAAGGAGCAAAAAAAACATCAGAAATCACCAATTCAGTTGTCGTACCTCAGTTTAATATACACTTGCAATACAGTTTTAATTTGCTGTCATCTTTGTCAAAATTAATCCATCCATTATCAATGCCGCTTATTCCCTCATGGGGTCGCGGGGGGAACTGGAGCCTTGTCAAAATTAATCTTTGGGAATATTTTTGTGGCAGCTTTACTCACTAGATGGCGCCCCACTTTCATTTTTCTGTTTGGCTGCTTCTCAGTAAAATATGCCTTTTTGTGCTTGATTCACTCAGGCACTTTCTCAAAAGCTCACAACGACTCCATGTGTGTGTCCCAGGTACTGACTTGCTTTTCATTTATCCCATTCAGAGAACACATTCAGACACAATGTGATGGGAGGCAGCACATAAAATTATGGTGGCTACATTTAGGTATAATTAAGATCCATGTGGAACAATTTATGAATTCAGGTTTTAGTCTATTTTACAGAATACACTAATCGTTAGAGACAGTTTTAGTGTTTAAGAGGCTAAAAAAAAGCTGCTCTTTCCCTAATTTGGCGTTTTTTTCCAGACACTCCCTTTTGGTGGATTGTCTGCCATTTTCTGTCACCGTCTTTCCCTTTAAGAACTAGAATTCTTGGAAATAAAGAAGCTTTTTAGCATTGTGAGGGAAGCACTGGTCTTGCCGAGGTTTTCCATGAACACACATAATAACCTGAGTCAAGGCTGCCACTGCAGTGAAAACAAGAACAGCTGCTCAAGCACAAAAGTGTTAACAGGGAGCCACCTTAGACCGAACAGCAGGATTAATAGCAGAAATGACCGGTGTCTCAAAACGTTCTCCCTTTGTTGTCACCAGAATAGTGTTTCTATTTCTTCCCCCATATTCATGAGTGACTGGGTAATGCTGTTTGCATTTGATTTTCGCACAAAGGCTCTCCCTGTCTTGGAGACAGTGTGTGTGTGTGTGTGTTAAATCCCCTCCAGGGGAGACCGGTGGCACATCAGTCTGGGGCGGTCCAGCTGGACTGGGCTCGGCCGCGGTAGGCTGTCAGGTGAGGGCCACTCTGGGCCCGGGCCCGGGTCTCACTGTGCGCTTGCTGCTGTGCACTGCAGCTGGCCAAAAGACCAATCTGTGAGCTCTGGCTGTCAACATCTGCTCCAGAGACCGCTCCATCTGCCCCGGGCCTCAGGGGGAGCGCCTCTCCTCGTCCCAGACCAGCTGCAGAGCCCCAGACCTGGACCCCGCGGAGGCAGAGAAACACGGCCAAGACGCAGTCAGCCACAGAGAGCCGGAACATTAGGGCCGCGCGTTTAGTCACGTTTTCCTTGGAAGGCGTATTCATGTCAAGGTTCAGGCCCATCGACCCCCTTCGTTATTGATCTTTTTGTTCCACAGTTTAGTGGCATTCGGGGATCAGGCTGCTGATGCAGCTTTAAGAAATAAACCATATTTGTTGCAAAATGAAGTACCTTTGTACAGTTGTGTGGCTGAAAAATTCAAGGTAAGATGAAAAAAAAAAGCAAGTCTAGGGAAGTTTTTATAGAAATGGGTTCAAATGAAAAGATGCCAATAAGACAGTTTAAAGGAATAGAAAGGTTGTTTTGATGCTTGCTGGCACATTTATCTACATTATGGGACCTAAACAGTTTGTTGTCCCACAATATTGCTGAAAAACTATCCAATTTGTTCTGGGCTTGCGAGTTCATTTGTTTTTATTAAAGAGAAATAAGGTTCACGCAGCTTTTGTTAAGACCTTTTATTTCATCGATTTGAAAGAAACAAGTAAAAACAGTGTACAAAGTTTATATTATTTGTTTACTAAAGCTGGTGTCCTCAGTCGGGAGAATACAGGAGGGGCAGGTACAAAAAAGTTGAAATAAAAAATATAAAATGAATTTTCCCTATTTTTAGAAGGTGACAGCAAAGGGGGAATGTGCATAGGAAAAGGTAATAACAGACTCAAAGTGAACAAAGGTTTGCAAACCATTGAAGAAAAGACAATATAATAAAAACCGTTACATTCAACGACGTATTATGCACTTTCGGAAAATGATTATCTGTCATCTTAAAAATACTGAAGTGCTTTTGGAACCTCTGTAGGAAGAGTTTCACCTCCAAAGAGTCTCAGTTTAGCCTCAGCTGTCTTTAAAAGAGAAGAAATCATTCAAACGAGCAAATGTTTCATTTGTATCCACAAGACTTGAATTTATAATATAAAAGAAGGCAATTTAGTCTTTACCAACCATAAAATACAAATAGGGGTCCAAATACAATCATATTGGGGCAGCAAAGTGCATTTCATTGGCAAAGTAAAACTCATTTTAATCCATGCTGGACTCATAAATAATTCAAAAGCTCGTGAAGGGATACAAGTTCCCAACCTAAAGTAGCAAATCAAAGATGTCAGTTTTCCCCCTGAAGCTCAGTTTGTTTGCAAAGTACTCATAAAGAAGTGTGCGATGTTAAAGTGACCTCACTGAGGCTGCAGCATATGCACTGGGCGGAAAACACCCAATAGTGTACTGTACACAGAGGAAAAAACCCAGAGGAGAAAGTGTCCAAGGGGTCAGCTCAGAGTGACCCGGTCAGAAAGAAACCAGGAGGTGTTTGTAGCACAGCATTCAGATAACCAAAAAAAGAAAGGCATCGAGAAACTAGAAGCATTTACTTCAGGGGGAGCTGGATAAGCTATTTATTGGCCTGAACAGGAAAATGTGGGTCTCTCGGTGATGTGCAAACGGTTACAAAAATAATCCAAAGCAGACCAACTTATGCCCAAACGTTTACTCATGCCGTGTTCTTTGCATGTCTGCCATTCATCACATCAGACTTTATTGCACAATTGATTTATCAGACCCATTATGGTGTGGCGTGACATCAGAAAATACTGACTGGTGTCAGTTTTCAATCAGGGTAGCAGGGAAAAGGGATAGAAATCCTCTCTAAATGATGGCATTCTTCTGAGAAATAGCCATGTGTTACAACACATAAGTATGCAGGAAAATTAACTTTATTTGAGTCGGTACATTCACTTATGAAGCCAGAAATATCTGAATGGACTTGAAAAAACATGGATTTATCAGTCACTCAACAAACAATATACCCTCTGCTCACATGGTGTTTTTGGTCCACAGCATGCCTATTTTCTATTTGAAATGTTTGATATTTCCTCGTATGCGTCTGTATGGATGACCCCTTTCGAAACAAAACGATTTATGGCAGTAGCCTGATCTGTGCATAACATAACTACATTTCCTCATTAATTATGGTGAATGGATGCCTGCTCAGAATACAACATAACAACCAGGAAATGCAGGGTAGTGTTATCTCCATGGTCAGTCTGGAAAGGCCACACAGAACGAGCACATTTATCTTTGTTTAGTTTGCACTTCCTCCTTCCTGTAAAACACAACTTTCAGACTGTGACAGTTGCAGCCAGCGACAGCTTCTACAGACAATGCCGGGAGGAAGGTGGCGGAGGCGTCAGGCTTTTGAGAGTGCAGTCGGGTGGAGAGAGAGGCGGACCAGAGGAATGTTGGAGGGTCGTTTAGGCCGTCCCACTGGCAGAGTAGGAGAACTGGGGGAAGTGGGGTCTCCGCTCGCTGTCAAAAGACTCCATACTGTCATCTGTTGGTGGAGAAAACAGATTATTTTTTTTCCAACACATTCTTAATGTTTGGTACCCTTTCACTATTGTCATTATTCTCATCCAGCGGCACGCTTTCCGCTCCAGTTTTTCTAGTTACCAGCTTTTTTTAATCGATGACACACAGCTGACTAAGCCCACTTATTTGATTGGGATTTTTTGGGGTTATTTTTTAAACCTAAAGAAATATACCGAACCGTAAAGAATAAGCTGTGACAGGACGCCCCCTGCTGGGTCTCCTTGTGTCATCACTGACCAAATAAGGCTTAGACTGCCTCCAGCTGCAAACGGGACATACAAGCTATGCCTCTGCAAGAAGAAAAAACTCCTCCAAACTGAGCTGTAGTACCAAAAAACGACTTAAAAAAGAGCAAAGATATAAGAGAGACAGTTTGCCACTGCCTTGGCGACACAACCTTAAACCCAGAGAGGGCAGGAGTGTTTTGGATCTCTTTTTTATAAAATCTTAGTTGCTTAATCTTGTATGTGTGGATGCTCTGATATATCCTCGATCAATATCCTCGATCAAGTTGTGTCTGTCTTTTACTGTGTTGTCTAAGTTCTTTCATCGCACACCTTGCATGGATTTCATGACTTTGTGAAGTTAAATT